TTTTTATTTACTAACTAACAATAAAAACCCTTGTCAATGTATGAGTGGCTACCTGTCGCATCCGCCGGGAGCACCCGTCACGCTGGTTACGAGTCAAAAATAAAGAACAACAAACAACCCACGGGCTTACCAATTCACACGTAATACATCACAGCTGACACAGGCAAGCTTTACATTTCGTCCAATAGACACCACGTATTGGATAAGAAAACGATAAAAGTTTCATCATACAGATAGTGCTGTTAGTTTTGAATGTTAGTGACACAGCTTGTCCTATTAAAATAGAAAAAGAGATGGACAGTTTCCATTTGTTCGAGATTAAAAACGTGGATAATAATGGTGACGGCAATTTATTTTAATGATTGAACGTTGAGGTTCACTTTTAGAAAAATTTGAACAACCTAGATTGAAGCTTCATTATAAATAAATTAAAAATACATAATGTTTAAAAATATTTTACAAACAAATGAGCTAAACTCGTAAAAATCAAGTTTAATTGCATCTTCATGTAAAATTCAAATATGGAATGGAATTTAAATTGTTTCCATTAAGATGGTTGTTGTTTCTCTAATGCAAGCAGCTTAGAATAGTATTTTACGACACATCTTGTTTCATAATATAGCGTTGTTAGCTGGTTACAAATTTAAGAACGCTGCCTTATATCACGCTTTCTTAGTATTATCTGTAGATGTATGTATGTATGAATTTAATGATTTTTTATAATTTATTTTCACCTACTTCTGTATTTCTGGATATCCAGATATTTTGTAAAGGTAAAGAAAGGAAAACAGTAAAATAATTTATTGACTATGTTATGCATGCTCTAGTGTTCCCAGTGGTCACTACGATCATCACAACTTATGATCAGTGTGTGCAAATTCAGTTTTGTTCAAACTCTAACATTTTCATAATATTTTTACTATAAACCAACGGTGTAACTAGGTATACAATAAACTATTACTCTAATTTTTATTGCACAGCATTTGCGCTCTATTTGTCCTCTTTATTAGGTTTTTAGATATGACTGAAAAGCTTACAAATATCTGACAAAACATTAAATGCTGGGAGGAAAGACGTTTATAGATTATTACTATATGTACATTTAAATAAAACTAATTTTACGGATTTTATCGCGTATATTAACTTATTTTACTTTCCCGACGTTTCAAGCACTTTACATCACCCATGGTCACGGGGGGGACTGAGGTGTATGACGTCCCAATGTCATAGTTAACCACGGCTACCTCCAGATTAAAAATTATTAATTTTTGTTCCGATCTACGCAGTATGAACTTACAGTATCATGAAGTCTTGCAGTTGTATGCTTGGGTTGGGATTTAATTTTATTAATTATGGGATCCCAAGCAGATGGTAGCACCCAGCCATCTTCTCTATTGAAATTAGGATGTTTTTTGATTTCAATAGCCTCGCGAATCATCCTTGGAAGGAATCGGTGTTCTTTAGCGAGGATTTGTGGTCTATCAAATCTAATGTAGTGACGGGGGCGATCCTGTACGTGTTCACAGACTGCAGACTTCCCGGAGCGTCTATTCTTCACATCAGCTATGTGTTCTTTAACGCGGGTTTTTATGGATCTTTTAGTTTGTCCTATATAAGAGAGACCACATTCACAATCCAGCTTGTACACTCCTGCATCTTGCAGAGGAATATTACACTTGACTGATGGTAAAAACTGACTAATCTTCTTCGGCGGCTTGAAATATGTTTTAATGGAAGCACGCTTCAAGATGTAGCCAATCTTGTCAGTGACACCTCTGACATATGGCAGTACAGCAGGCACTCGCTCGACTGTGGCCGGCTTCACTCGTTCACTGTGACGTAGGCGCGGGACCCGAAGCTTATTGTCGTGCAAAACTTGCTTGACGTGTTGGAGCTCGGCGGCCAGGTGTTTACTGTCACAGATCCCTCGTGCTCTCTGAAACAAAGATTTACCCACGGTAGCTAACTGTGAAGGATGGTGGTGAGAATCACCGTTTAAATATCTATCTGTATGGGTCTTTTTTCTATACACAGTGTGGCTCAAGGTGTTATCAGGATTCCGAATTACTAACACATCTAGAAAAGCTAAAGAATTGTTTGCCTCTAACTCCATTGTGAACTGAATTTTAGAATTTAAGGAGTTAAGATGGTCTAAAAATGCAGTTACTTTATCTAAAGGTAGAATTGTGAAAGTGTCGTCTACGTACCGCTTGTAGAATCTTGGCTTTATGGGAGAAGTAAGCAGGGCTTTCTCCTCAAAGTCCTCCATGAATATATCGGCAACAATGGGAGATACAGGTGAGCCCATCGCCACACCATCTACTTGCTTGTAGAACTCCTCCTTCCACAATAGGTAGCCAGATGTAAGGCAGTGTCTGAGTAATACTGCATATTCTACGGGCATGTTATTTTCCTCTAGCCTTCTAGTAACAATCGAGATGCAGTCTTCAACAGGTAGGCATGTGAACAGAGACTGCACATCAAAACTCACCATAGTTTCATTGTCTGCCAGATGTAGGTCTTTAATCTCGCTGACAAAATGGTAGGAATCCTTTGTGTGTGCTCTTGTATGTCCCTTGAGCGGTGAGAGTATATTCGCTAAGTGTTGAGCCAATCTGTAAGTTGGTGAATCGATTTGGCTCACTATAGGACGTAGTGGAGCATTGGGCTTGTGTATTTTTGGTAACCCATACAACTTCGGTGGTTTAGCACACGTAGGTATTATCGATTTTACGTCTAGATTTAATTTTTCGGAGTGTTTCTTTATGAGATCACTAGTTGTTTTAAGTGTGTTATTTGTTGGGTCATTTTTAACCTTTTTATACGTACTTGCATCCGACAAAAGTTCTTGTATTTTAGAATTATAATCTGACGTATCCATAACTACCGTGGCATTTCCCTTATCTGCGCGGAGAATCGTGAGTTCTGGTTTATTGCGTAGGTTAGTCAACGATTTGAATTCGTCTTTAGGTAGATTCGGTTTTGGCGCTGAACTTCGACGTAACATAGACGAAATGTCTTGACGTATCGCTTCCAAATCCTCCTTTTGCATATTGTTTTTAAATAAACAGTCCTCGACACTACAGATAATTTGTGGTTAACTATGACATTGGGACGTCATACACCTCAGTCCCCCCCGTGACCACGGGTGCTGTAAAGTGCTTGAAACGTCGGGAAAGTAAAATAAGTTAATATACGCGATAAAATCCGTAAAATTAGTTTTATTTAAATGTGTAGTGTTCGCGTAAATATAAGAAATCACTATATGTACAATTTAAGCCTTTTGTTTGCAAAGTCAAGAGAAAAGAAATTACTAACAAATGTGTGTAATTAATTTGATTAACTTAAATAAGCTACGATGTAGATAAATATAAGTTGTTTCATTGTTCATTGAGGATTTTCTAGGTGTTATTAATTAGACGCTACTACATGGGTATGTATATGTATAGCATGGACTTATCCTATGCTCTTCCTGCATGCAGTGTCTCCCTAATAACAAATCAATTAACAAAAAATACTGCGGCTGCAAACACGACTGCTAAGTGTAGCAACAACGGCAAGAATCCCTCTTGTGAGGTAATGTATGGGGGAGGTATTTGTTCAGCAGTGCACTTTTATAGGCTGTAGTAGATGAATAGCATGTATTGCCTATTTTTTCTTAATATATCGCAAAAATTCTTGCATTTTCGTCTTAATGCACATTAGCAAAAAGTTACAATTTAGGGTAAATAGTGCGGTTCTACTAAAAAGCTTGGAACCCCTTATCTATAGTATACGCTAGCGAAGCCAACAATTCAGAAGAACAATAAGCTGGTGTGTAAAAGATTTTACAACGTACTAGACAGCAAAAAAACAATCTGAATATCATTCTCCCGCTGCACGGGACAGGCCTCTCATTATAAAAGGCTATTGACTAAGCATACCATTGTGCTTTCCCACAGCCTAAGGATTTATTTACTACGCATGGTTAGTTTGTGAACTTTTGATCAGAGTTATTCTCGTACATGGGTTTCAGCGATATTTTTCATCATGTCACAAGAATCGCTGAAACTTCTGTTTTTATACCTCTCAAAGTATTCCTTTGCAGTGAGTTTAGAAAAAATATTTTAGTTACTTATTTAAACTTTTATGCAGCAAAATAGAACGTAATATAGAATTAATGTCTAGAGGCATTCTCTCTCATTCAACCACAAGGTTAAGCGGAGATAAACAAATAAAAGACGGTGCAGCAAAAACTTAAAACAAAAAATAATAATTCTAAATTTAAATGAGAATTTATAAACATAGTTAAATAAATTAAAGAAATGTTTATCGACAGAACTAATAGTTAACTACTCTTGGTACTTACATTTCAAAAGTTTTGAGGAAAGAAGCAGATCCAGCTCTTCGGCTTTTGCTTAGAATATAGACAATATTTTAAAAAATGCATGCCTCATTGTTACCACTTTTGCTTAGAGCATAGATAGTACTTCAAAAAATGGTTACCACGCCTCATAGTTACCGCCATATGGAACCCAGTAATGGAAAGGTTGTCCAGCAGTAGGCATTACTGTAGACGAAGAAAAGGCACTTATTTCTGTACATAACCGATATACTTACACATTACTAAAATTATAAAAACGTGATAGAGCCACGCTGCAGTGTATTATATGCTTGCATCACGAATGCCACAAGTGGAGAACCACCTTCACGAAATGGCGGCAAAATGCTGCTGTATTTCGTATGGTAAGTGATGAGAAACTACTCTTTAAACTCGTAACCTCTAAGTCTAAGAGTAGAGTAAGTGTGCTCGTTTGTCGCCCTTACTCCTATATTTAAAAAAAAAGTTAGCTACTAGGCTAACTTTGTCATTGACTTACCACGACTCTCTAATAATAATTTTGTGTTAATCATCTTACACACTGCTGAACATATTTTACCCATTTTTAAGAATGCAGCATTTAATAAATACGTGCTTAATCTATTTTATACTTAAATATATCAAATACCATAATACTTACTGGCTACGGACGGTGCGACGGCACCGAGAACAAGGTGAAGTAGTAAAATGACCCCCATTCTCATCTGTAACAAAAAGTATATTATTGAGCAAAGAGTAGTACTGCTTGTAGCAGAGTAAGACAACCTGGTGTCACATCTTGTTGCAAAGTACTCGAAACGTCGGGAATTAAAAATTGGATTGCAGTTTCGCATCGAATTTAGCTACGCCAGCAGCTGGCGGCCAGCTCGTGTTATTTCACCCAATAGAAATTTATTCAACATAAATTATAAAAAATAGTTATTGAAAGTCACTCTTATGTTTAATTTACTACCGGGTCGGAAAATACCTATGTCCTGGGAAGAACCCGTGAAAATGTGTGGCGACCGATTGTGAACGACGAAAACTAGTGACCCATTTTAATGTAAGCAAGGAATCTGCATTTTAGATCTTAATTGAGGATAGATCTTTGGGCTACAGCATCCACTTACCATCAGGTGGTCTGTAGAACATATAGAAGTCTGAACTGTGATAGTCGTTTATGTTTTTGATTAAATAATATTTGAAATTTAATCATTTACAAATACTCAAAGAATACCAGCGTAAAATAGCAGCTTAACGCTGCTGTTTCGTATGGTTAGTGTAGAGAACCGGAGACCCTTTTTACTGGGAATGAGGCATTCCATCTTAGGCCTCACGTGTGACAACGCATCTGGCTTTTGATTCGTAATCGAGCATAGATGTGCGGCAGCAACCACTTATCAACAGGTGGGACTGTCTGCTCGTTTGTCACCCTTTTCCTATTAAAAAAAACTCGTTATGTAAAATAATTATCAAACGTGAGATCGTACCAATATTGTTAACATCTAATAATAACTATGTTTTAAGCATATAAATAATCTTGATTTTAAGCTCATTAAAATGAGACTGCTGATTGAAGAGTGCCTCTTAAATAAATCATATCTGATAGTAAATTCTTAAAAATAAACTTCTATAGCAGTCCAACATTTTGATTGGATTGATAAAATTTGTTAAAGAATATATATATTTTTTTTATTTATTTATTTATTACAAAGTATAGTTATTTAATAACATCCGACAGTACAAATAAACTTACAAAAGTTTTTCCATGTACCGCCAATTCGTAACTTCGATCATCGGTTCACGTTTCGACAACTTATTTAATGACGTATATAAATGGTGTGACAAAATAGCAAGATTTTTTTTTAACTAGGTGTGTACCAAAGCAAAATATGGTTAGTATTAAATGAAAATTAGTAATTGGGATAATAATGTTATAATTGTGTGTATCTATGTATATAGTTATTAGTAATTTTTTTTATTTATGTATATTATATTATGATGTGTGTTAGTGGATATAGTTTTATATTTTAGTTTAAATCATTATTAGGTATCGTTAACAATTTGTCGATAAAATCCGTTTAACTAACTTTTTCTGAAAAAAAAAATAAACGAATACGCATAGAAACACAACAACGTGTAATAAAAATATATAAGCGGAAAAAATACGACGAAGAAAACTGTCGCTAACGGTTCCAGGTGACTAATATTAGTTAAGTGGAGTGCGTCGGGTTAAATCGAGAAGCGCACTTCCGGAGATCGACCGCCGTCTGTCCGTGTCGTTAACGTTGAAAGTCGAGTTGCATGAAATGACACTAATGATATGACTTACTACTTTATTTAATAAAAACCTTATTGGCTTAAAATAAGGTTTATGTTTTTACGTGTACATCGTAACAAGAAACTAGAATTCTATTTCATTATTTATACAATTTTGAACACTAGCGTCTATATTAGGGCGTTAATTATATTAAAAGTATGCGTCAGATTACACTAATATCTAATTTATAACGTTTTGTTTGAAAGGTAAGACTTTTTTTTATATAAGAGAGGGCAACAGTGCACCTGATGGTAAGTGTCGACCACCGCCCAAGAACAACTGCAACACCAGAAGAATTGTAGGTGCGCTGCCAGCCTTTTAAAAAGGAGTAACATCGTTTCTTGAAGGTCCTTAAGTAGTATCGGTCCGAAAAAATTGCCAGTGGTAAACGATTCCACAAAGTATTCGTGTGAGGAAGAAAACTACAAGTACCTAAATCGCACAGTAGTGGACTACTGTGAATGGAATTTTAATGACCATTCATTTTCATATTTCATTCATTCATTTCAGCCTATTAAATGTCCACAACTGAACATAGGTCTCATAGCTGCTACTCATGGCGTGCGAGTTGGTAATTTTCAAAAATGTTTATATTTATATTAAAATGCGTCCAGTCTCAACGGGAACGGAGTAGGATAATAGTGCATGTGTATGTGTGCAGCATGTACAGGTGCACTTTTAAAGTATATTCCATCACCCTCATAATCCGATGTATCAGCAATCCATACGACCGGAAAGAGATCAGGCGCTGGACCAACGGCTTTACGTACTTTCTGAGGTAATAGGGTTGAAACAACGCCGACTTCCTGACACCAGCTTGCTATTGAAGACTTCTTGACAGAATAACATAAATAGAGATACATAATCAGCAGTCGGGCTTACGACTACTAGACCAACGATGCAGTTGAACTATGACAGCGTTGACAACTAACAAAGATCGGTGCTGTAGATTTTGCTGACTTGGCGGCGACCATCGACGGCTCCGTGGCGCAGTGGCTTAGCAATGACTTGTTGCGCTGGGGGCCGCATGTTCGAATCCCGCACGGAACAAGTATTTGTATGGCCTACAAATAATTTTTCCGGGTCTGAATGTTTGTCCACGTACAATTTATGTTTGAAGAAAGAAAATCCTAGTGTGGATATAACATTTTAAAAAAAAAGAAAATATAAATAAAATCGTACTACATACTCATAATATTTTAATGCATAATTTGGCTTTTATGTTAATTATATTTATTCATTATTATCTTTATGGAAACCTATATTGTCTTTCATACTGTGTTTGGCAGTCCATAGTTTGTATTCTTTTTAAGTAGGCTAAGTACCTACCAAGTATCGACACATACGTTTCACAGCTAGACCACTCGTTTCTAAGAATGGTAATGAAAGGTCCGACCCGCTGCTCTAGTGAAAATTGAAAGGCTTCACATTAACATTTTTTTATTCTAGTTTCGCGGTCCTCCACTCAAGACAGATAAAAATTATCCTTTAAATATTTTCTACGTTACCATGGAGTGCACTGAAATTATGCAGTAAATATTTTTGCGCCCTTTTTAGTCTCGTGTGTGAACTGTTATATTAATAATGAACATCGAAAATTAAAATAACTTCTTTAGCATTTATTACAAAATGAAACTTACATCAGTTGAAAGATTAGGTACTGTGCTGCAGAAATTAACAAAAAAGACAATCCTGTGCTTATGCTGTTCTTATGGCAGGTAATATAAAACGAACATACACACTTGATTTTTTTCGTACAAAACGCTTTAATCGATTTAATAAATGACAGCATTTTGATCACGTTCGTGGCTCTATAAGATAAGATTCCTTTGCCTTCTCTGTATGTAAATATTACAAAAAAACATTGTACTGTATAATTGTTTTTCAAGTCTGAATGAATTAAGGTTCATTTCCGCCACATCAGTACACGGAATCAAATGCTCTCGGTCTACTATTAGTCTCTTCCAGTTTGGGACATCCAATTAGTTCAAAGTTTGGCATGCTGATTAGCAATTACTTAGCACCTTTGAATACCATTCCGGACACTTTATACCTTATATACATTTAAGATATGCGGGATTTTATTACAACTGATAGAACATATTATGGCATTTTTTTACCAAGACAATTTTTATATCGTGTATTTCAAAACAAAATGCAAATAAATAATGTCATAAAGCAATAAATAATAGGGTTTTAGTAGACATAATATTAAATAAAGCCTTTATCACTTTCGTCCCTTTTCTGACACCTTTCTTAACAAGATGTTATCTTAAATACGTATTCAATTCTTTCCTGACACATATTGTTAAAGCGCCTGCAACAAGCTGGAATGGCGGCGTGATTTGTCAAAATCTGAAGCAGGTAGAGAATAGCGATGGAGATTAATATTTTTAAGCAACTGTAAAAACGCAGACGCACAGATTCATTTTAGTTATAGCTAAACATTTTGCAGGTAACGTGTTAAATGCAGAAGACTCTTTTTAAATTAAAAAATAAATAAATAGAATATAACAAGAAGTTAGCTACTCTTTATTCATTAGTTTGACACTGGCAAAGTAAAAGCGGAGAATATTTACTGATAAATTTGAAACTGGAACACAATATCTCAAACATTTTATTCGGAAAATGCTCTTTTCTTGAGAATTTGGCGGGAACTCGTTTGCAGCCATGTGCTATGATTTACAATTACTGAATATAAAAAAGGTTTAAAAGCCCAAGAATCTTTTGAAGTTTTAGCTACCACTTTTGGTGAGTTTACTTGTTTGTAAACAATATAGTGTTAAAATGGTTTTCTGGATTCAAAAGAAAACAAAGAAACTTTAAAAAGGAATCGAAGATGGATCAGTTGTTAGCAGCGTCTCTTAAGAAAATGTTTGTAACTTGAACTTGAACGTTTTTTCTGTCTGTAATACGTCTGTTTTCTCGAATATGTTTTTCAATATTCGAGAAAACCGACGTATTACAGACAGAAAAAATGATGACAGAGCCAGAAATGTGTATAAGATCAGGAGCAATAGAAATCATCATCTCTGTCTGTAAGCATTGTTCGAGATGAATGTCACACAAATTTACCGATGAGCAGAAAAACCATTCTAACCAAAAATTTCATCCTCTATTTTCTCACCCTTAGTGGTGAAATTTTATCTTCAAATTTTTTTCTCACCACTCCTGTTAAATAAAAACAAATCTCAAATTATGTTCTCAATTGACAAAGATATCGCGTAACATATATACAAAACCGAACATAATTACGAATTCAGAACATTCTCATTTTTTGAAATCGGCTAAAAAGAACCTCCTCTACTTCGTGGCTTATTAAAGAAGCAATTTTATTTTAGAGGCAAATTCTTTCACGCTATTCCATTACGACTAAAGCACGAACCAATGAGAAAGAAA